CAATATTATTATATCATATAATAATTGGAAACTGTGAAGATATCAGTGAGATATCTAAGGTTCCGACAATTCCAAACCCTACTAAGCCCGGGCGAAATCCATGGATGTCCCCTACTTCAATCCCAAAAAAATGGTGGTGCCCCAGTTCGTTAGCTAAGTTGGTGAACATCAGTCCAATAACTAGGGTTGATGAATGGGGGTTATATCTATAGTTAATGGGGATTACAGTTAATGGTTATTATTTATAAGTTGGTTTATACATAAGCCCCAGTAACTAGTTCATTATTTGCGTACCATAAACCAGCTCGTGAAATTGGAGTTATTAGTTCACCCCAATTTACCCTCTGGTAATTTGTCACATAGCTATTGAAAATGGCCATAGAAATAGTGGATTTTCCCATTAAAAATGGTGTTTTTTTCCATAGTTATGTCACCAACTGTACTTTTCTCCATGGATCTCCGGGGTCTCCTGGACCCCTCCGAGTGCTGAGCGCTCGTGCTCCACACGTGCTCCGAGACACGTAAGCGAGCGGAGGATGGCGGCCGTTCGCTCAGAGACCGGGGCCGGCCCAGCCTGGCTCTGGCGCGGTGCCCAAGAGTTATAAGTGGCTTATGATGTTTATATAACCTAAGAAAACTGTGTTTATAACTTCATCCCATTTAATGTATAACTGTATAACTGTCTTGGTAATTACAACAATATCTTATAATCCCATTTATCCAGTTATTTAGGGCTATGACAGGTAACTGCCAGTGCCATGAGTGTATATTGCCTTTGTCATGGCTTATAATTCCATTTATGTCAGGGGCCATGACAGTGTACTTAGCCTTTGGTAATCGAACCTATAGAAATGGGCCATTCCATGGAACATGGCAAGTGTGATGGGTTTGATTTAAGTATAGGGAATGTTCTATTAGATATGGGATCCAATGGCAATTGCAAATCATATGAATGTGGGTTTCAAGCGGAAAAATCATCAAACTAAATCTGGTTGGTGGTTTCAACCCTCTAAAAAAATATTAGTCAGTTGGGATGATTATTCCCAATATATGGAAAAATAAAGAATATTCCAAACCACCAACCAGAAATGGATCTAAATGGAACATATTCCAGCACACCACGTCAAAAGGTATCTAGGCATTCTGCGACTATCGGGATTTCACTTTTAGTAAGTTGGTTTGTGATTTGTGCTGTTGGGCTGTAGTCGCTGTAGTGGATATATCATGATATATCTTGGTTGTGAAATAGGTGAAGATCAACCAACAACAACATAGCTGGAGAGTATTGGAGGGTCCTCTATGTAATACTCTGTACATACCCTGGAGCAATCTGGAAAAAGCATCAGCCAATTCTACCGGGGGGCTTCCCATTGCTGAGTGAACTAACCATCATTTACGGGTGCGGAACCAACAGAAAATAATGATGCAAACATGTTTATTTGACCAGCAAAAAGGAAGGGTAAACCATGGTAAACCAAGACAACAGGTGATTTAATCAAACAACAGCACAAATGAGGGTTTTTTTTACTATCGTAGCTAGATAAGTTGGTTTGTGACAAAAAAACAACTGGTTCATATACGGTGGGCTGGGCTTATAAACATAGCTGGGGCACCACATTAGAAATGTTAGAATAGACACTGCAACTTCATGCAACTTCCATAACCAGGGTCAACTAGGCAAGTTCGGGGCCCAGCCTTGCACGGTGTAACCAATTGCACCATATCCGGCAGATGCCTTTCCAGCAAGCCATCACCGCCGCACAAGATACTGGTGCCAAGGCTGGTATCACTCTTGCTCAACCCTGGTAAACGATTGCCACCTTTTTGGTGGCCAATCATGGTGATTTTAGCTCCCAATTTCACCACCAAATCGGGCAGGGAGCAAACCGGTCAATGGATTGGATTCTCCGTATAGCTCAGTATTTCTCCCGGGGGAACAGAGATGCTCCCCTCATCACTGGATCTTTGCACCCCAGTATCCACATGACTAGTCTATATAGATGGGTATTGGTCAAACTGAGCTATCCCGATCATCTCATTTTTTTAAACAAAATGGATTCAAATGGCTCAATGCTATGAAGCAAAATCTTCCATGTATCCAAATCTTACTGTTTCTTGTGCTCCAGGGAACTCTGAATCTCTCTTTTGAGCCAGCAAAAGCTGAGATCCCATGGGGACCTCTGCAAAAGATGTCCATTCAGATGATTTTTGTGCGAGATCCATGTGGACCGAGTTTTCTTTGGCCAATTATACTACCGTAAAGTTCAAAGATCCAGAAAGAGTCATTAAGAGCGTATAATTCATAAAGCTACCAAACTTATAGAGTTGACCAAGTGATTTTAGCACCTTAAATAGTCCGTAAAAAAAAACCAATCACCAAACCTTTCCATGGCTAAAAAATCACCATGTCCAATCACCGCGCTTATAACCGCCCCATCTTCGGAACGGTGGACCCATGGCCATGTTGCTTTGTTGAAAGCCAGAAACTCTGTATCTACCATGGCCATCCATGGCCATCCATCATGTATACTTAACGTATCTATAAACCAACTTCGCGAAAAGTACCAGGTGGTGCCCCAGTTCGTGAACGCTAAGTTGGTGCACACAATTCCAATTTCACTATGGTTTATGGTAGATAAATAACGAACTAGTTTTCATGGGGTGAATCTACATAAACCAACTTATAACTATGGGGCACCACCTTGTAGGGGCACCACCGTGTTTTTTTCAACTCGCGGACATCGTCCCTTTTCTCGGCGCCGATGGCAGACTGTACTAATGAGGCTGCGTTCACACCGCTACAAGGCCAATTTGTTGATCCATTCCCCTGCTCAAGGATATTGGCTGGGCAATTTCATTGGATTGAGATTTTATCAAAAAAATACAGGACCCCGATCCCATTGAAAATCATTTTAAGCTCATTTTTCAATATGTTTATGGACAGTTTCACGAACAAAACTCGTGCTTCGAGCTATTGAAATGCTTGAGCTTTCCTCAGGATTTCCCATCCAAGTCTTCAGAGGAGTCACCCGTCAAGTCGAGGAATCTATCAAAACATGCCATGAAGACTTCGGTTTTTAGGATTGTGATGTTTTTTTTCAGTTCCCCCTTTTAAAATACGGTGCCCAACTTTGATCTTTGTGAAAAGGGTCAATCAACTTTGAACCATTCACATACTGATCATACTGGTTGGTGGTTGCCTTTGTCATGGCTAAAAAAAAATCCATTTATGTCAGGGGCCATGACAGTGTATTTAGCCTTTGGTAATCGAACCTATAGGAATGGGCCATTCCATGGAACCATGGCAAGTGTGATGGGTTGATTTAAGTATAAGGAATGTTCTATTAGATATGGGATCCAATGGCAATTGCAAATCATATGAATGTGGGTTTCAATTGGAAAAATCATCAAACTAAATCTGGTTGGTGGTTGACCTACCCCTCTGAAAGATATGACTTCGTCAGTTGGAATGATGACATTCCCATATATTATGGAAAATCATAAATGTCATGTTCCAAAACACCAATCAGTTAACGTATCTTGACGGAATCTCAACAGCCAGTGTCAAGCTTCGACAACCAAAATGGCCCCGGTTCTATGGTACTCATCTACGGCTGGTACCTCTGGCACTTCTGACCAAATGGCGAAACGCAAGTCAAATATGGACCTTTAGATCAAAAGCAAACTCTGACAGGTGGAACACATTGAGATCAAGACTGCATGATCATCGAATCTGGTTGGTGGTTGACCTACCCCTCTGAAAAATGTGACTTCGTCAATGGGAAGGATGACATCCCTTTTCTTTTATGGAAAACTAAAAGCCATGTTTGAAACCACCAACCAGTTAATTTATCATTAATCACCATGATTACTCACCATTAATCACCATTAAACCACCAACCAGTAATTGTAGCAAGAAAACACATAGTTTATTCAAACACGCCAACATCACACGATTCTGAATCATCGACCTAGTGGAAAAGCTATATCGTTTGTGGAGGCAAACATTGCCAATCAGCAAACCTGTGTTTAGTTTATTGATGTTTATTGAGTCCAAAACTGGTTCAAACATCACTAAACTGACTGCAAACTTGTTCCAGATCTAACTTATTGATGTTTATTGGTGTTTATTGGTTCAAACTGTTTAGTTTATTGATGTTTATTGGTTCAAACATCACTAATATTGAACTGACTATTGAGGTTCTGATCTACTCAATATTTGAACTTCATCCCCCTTCATCAACTATCCAGGCGTGTCGTCATCAGCCGAGTCGCAACGTCGCAACAGGTTCACTCTCTGATTAGTTGGCCAAAGGCCAAGAAGCTGCTACAGTGTATTCGCTTCCAGTGCTGCTATGCCATGTTCATGCTTGATCTGTCCGAAATAATGCGCTAAGATTGTAAAGTTTCTCCAAACAACAGCAAAATCATAGCTTTGGGAGGGACACTGATTCACATCGTTTTCCAGCAACTATGCGCCTATTGGCCCTCACTCATGCCAAGAAATTCAAGAAAGTCTTCTCGACTCTCAACATTCGGCTAGGGATCGAACCCCTGATATCTTGTTCTGGCAATCAAAACAGCTGATAAACGACTCTTCATCCCCTCAATGATGCGAAAACATGTCGTTTAGTCCAAAATCATGTGAAAAATCATGAAAAATCCAGCCGCAACTTGGCCCCCCCCAAAACAAGTGAACCTGTGAGAAAATTGACGCCCCGACAGCAATTTCTTCGGCACTTTCTGCCACCACGGCACCAAGTGCTGCACCCGACTGAGCAGCTCTCAGCGACCGCCCTGCACTGGTGAGACAGTGCATTGAGGCGACCACTTCATTCAACGCTCAAATGGCACAGGCGTTTGGGGCCGCGTTGCCCGGGGTGTCAAGTTCCAGAGGCTCGGAATCAAAAGGGTTTTGACATGCCCATATGCGAACCATGGTGCTGGTAGATTTGCCAACATTTACCCTAACAAATCACCCAGTTTTGTAGGTAAATATACCAGCACCATGGATCATATGGGATGGAATGGCCTGGCCGCCTGGCCTCTACAATGGTTTAGGATGGTGTCTGGTTCTCCAAATCCTTTCATCGCCACCCCCCGCCGTTGCCGAAGAGTTCTTCGGCCGCGAGGCGTGCATTTTCTTTTACTCCTCCGCTACTGGGAGAGAATTTCAACCCCCACTGAGGCAAAGCCCTTCACAAGGTCCTGGCAAACATTCAGACATGCACCAGGCATAGTCCCCAACTCTGGTGCGAGTTGGGCCTTTTTGATATGCTGATATGAACAATAGATTTTTGTAATTACTTGTAGGCCTTTCGGAGCTTTTTGGGTATGTGCTGGATGAATACTGGTTGGTGGTTGACCTACCCCTCTGAAAAATATGAAGGTCAGTTGGGATGATTATTCCCAATACATGGAAAGTCATAAAATTCCATGGTTCCAAACCACCAATCAGTATTAATTTATCATTAATCACCATGATTACTCACCATTAATCACCATTATATCACCATTAAACCACCATTAAATCATGTTCCAGTCACCACCAACCAGAATTTCGTGTTGCCAATGTCCAAATTCGCCCCCTCCACCTGTCCCTGCTGGTGAATCTCAGTTGGTGAAGCATTCAGCATCATTCAACTATAGGTATGGTATATCCACCACAAATCCTATAGTTATGGTATTTCAAAGCCAACTTAGCTATCATAAATCAATGAAATCATCCGGTGTTTAATGATTTCTGCTGGTGAAATCCAGCTACCCTCTTGCAAACAAACATAGCTTGCGAACTGGAAATCACCAGTTTTGATAGATAAATCAACTATTTCTATGTGCCATTTTCACAAACATAGCGAACTGGAAATCACATCTTTAATAGATAAATCAACTATAAATGTGCCATTTTCTATAGCTATGTTAAATTACCAGAGGGTCATTTCTTTCAGGTCACCCAACGATTTCCACCCGCCTGTAGATTGGGGCTTCGTTGTCTGGCCATGGTGGACCAGATCAAATCTTCGCCCACGTAGATTTCAAACCTTGGCCGCAAAAACAAAAAGGCGAGACGACTACGTCTGTGTTGCGTTTCTCAACGAAACACATACACATCATTATAATTCATTATATACATCTGGTTGGTGGTTTGAACCATCTTGACCAATATGAAAGTCAATGAGAAGGATGACATCCCATATATGAAATGGAAAACAACATGTTCCAAACCACCAACCAGGCACAGTTATATATATATATAGCTATAGCTATAGCTATAGCTATATATATATAACTAAGTACTAGAACATGGAATATAGAATTGAACAAAAAAAAAAAGGTTTTGGGGCATCTTCCAGAATTGAAAAAAAAGGGTGTACGTAGAATATCCCAGATGTATACATAGAATATTTTGTCAATTCTGGAAGATGTTTTTTTTGATTTGTTTGAATTATAAACAGGTCACCCCTACTGCAGCATAAATGGACATAAATGGACGTTTTTCAAATGTTCATCCCACTAAAATCTTTTGAATTATCAAAATATCACCCATACTGCAGCATAAATGGACATAAATGGACATTTATCAAATGTTCATCCCACTAAAATATTTTGAATTATCAAAATATCACCCATACTGCAGCATAAATGGACATAAATGGACGGTTTTCAAATTTTCATCCCACTAAAATCTTTTGAATTATCAAAATATCACCCATACTGCAGCATAAATGAACCGACATGAATGCCTACGAAATATGTTTAGATTGTAAAAAGAAACTGAAGAAATGGAACTAAGTTCGCGGTAGCAGTGGAAAAAACCATGGTGATCCATGGTGGGAGCGCAGGGTTTTTTGGTGGAGCTGAATTTTCGGGGATTGGACCCCCTAAAAATAAACCATATTCTATGTACCCGATGTTGTAAAAGTGGGGGTCGGGATTGAATTCCGACATATTCTAAGAACAAGTACCTTCTTATATATATATAATATACCAAAATTGAAGCACACTCATTTACCCATGGATTGAGAGAAAAAGAAATCTGTCACAATTGAGCAGAGTTCTTTGAATCCCTGTCCGTTGATTCCAATATCTTGGGCATTATCAGAATCCATAAAATCCCAAATCCCTAATCTTCGCCCAAAACATATCCCCATGATATCCCCATTATATATATATTATATATATCCATTTCCCAAGATTTTTACCACCACTTTTACCCTCTGGTAAACTAACATAACAATGGAAAATCACCATTTTCAATGGGTAAATCCACTATAGATGGCCATTTTCAATAGCTAAATTACCAGAGGGTACCCCCAAATATCTGGATGTGGGATTTCAATTATCCCTTCATTCAGGTGCCCAACCCGCCAAGCCACGCGTTGGTCTTGGTGAGCGCGGACGCGATCATGTTGGTCCTAACGGAAAGGCCCCGTTAAGGGGGCTGAAGACTTTATCAAATAAATAGAAAATCTGGTTGGTGGTTGACCTACCCCTCTGAAGAATATGAAAGTCAGTTAGGATGATGACATTCCCAATATATGGAAAAATAATCCAAATGTTCCAAACCACCAACCAGAAATTCACTGGTAATTCACTGGTAAATCCTCTGGAAAACAAGGTCAAACTATTAATTCACCGGTAAATCCCCTTTTTCTGACTAAAACCCTCTGGTAATCAAACATGGCGTGCTGGAAAATACCGCATTTAGTTCGATGATGTTGCCAGATGGCTAGCTGCCAGCTGTTAAACATATGACAACTTTAAGGCCGCTTCGGTTAGTATGGCCATAGCAAAAGACTACCCATTAAAGGATTCCCCAAAAGTTGGAGAAGCTCAGAGTCACCTTGGGAAGTCCTAGCGAACAAGTCACCTCTGCTACTGTGCATGGTTGCGAAATCCTGCACCAGTTGATGGTAAACATCCCACTATTTATAGGCTTTCAACCATCCTTTTGGTGGTTTATCAGATTTCGCTGGCCCATCAACAGTAGCAGAGGTGATTTCCCAACTCTTCCGCTGGCTGGATGGTTGTCAAGACTTGCCTTCAAAGTCACGACACCTGGAAGAGTGATGGTTTCCCCTATCCCATATGCTCCATGGTGCTGGTATATTTGCCAACATTTACCCTAAAAATCACCCAAATGTAGGTAAATATACCATACATGGATCATATGGGTATCATTAACCCAGTGCTTCACCGAATAGGTGTTCCTACTTCTGCGGTGCCTCTGCGGAGCGGTGCCAATGTTCCACCCAAGAAATATCTACCGGACCAATCCACCAGTCCAGCAAGCCAAATTCGCTGGCCCACCAACTTAGCTTAAGAAGATCCCAGTTTAACTTGCTGGAAATTGGATCTGATAAGCCAACAAAATACCAGTCATGTATTACATCATAATGGCATCAGAATGGCTAGAAATTGGATAATCATCAGTGAATACTAAATTGAATACCACAAATAATCAGCTCAATCATCCAACGAATTAATGGAATCCGAAAATCATTGACTTCATATTAGGTCTCTATCCAAATGATGGTTGCCAAAAAACCCATATACCCAAACGATTCCCAAATTTTCATGGTTACCCAAAAAAAAATCGCAAATTTATTTTCTGCCCTCCCCCATGAAAAAATCCAGCAGATTTCGTAGATCAAAACCCCCCCGGTTGTTCTCCCAGGAAGTTCAACGGGCGACCGGACACCATGAAAATGGCGAAGACCGCAGACATCTTGTTCTCCCGGATCTTGGTCTTTTTGGGGGTTCACCAATAGCTGGTTTTATTGAATGGACTATTTCCTACGAAAATTTGAATGATTTGGGGCTAGCCCCTAATTTGGGAACTGATTCAGTATGATTTTGGAGAAAAGTTTAACGGAAACCTCAGATGTTTCAATCGATTTGAGGGGATCAGTGTGGTGGTTTTAGGGTCAAAACTTGTTTTCCATGAACCATCACGTCATGCAAAAAAGTTCCGTTCCTGCCCACTTCCATGTGGCAAGAGAGATGCCAAACTGGAACTTCCACCTATATATAATAAGTTCTGTACTGATATATTATATATATAGAGAGAGAGTATATATATATATATTATAGGGGGTTCCAGAAATGGAGATACCCCCAAATGGATGGTTTATAATTGAAAATCCCAATCCAAAATGGATGATTTGGAGGTAGCCCTATTTCAGGAAACCTCCCATGGATCGTCCCAAAAGGGGAATCCGATCATGGGGGGGATGTCATTATAAGTCCCTGATGGATTGATTGTTAAACCCATCCCCCTATATTGGAAAAAAACGATGGGAAAATCCATGGCTAAACTGTTTTGACACCACGCCAACAATCAATGCCGAATCCCAGGGCAGCTTTTGCAGGTCTTGGGATTGATAGCTAGACATGGTAGACGCATCTGTGGAAAAAAATCACGGGGCTTCCTGCTGATTTTCCCTTCCCAGTCGGCGACTTGGAAAACATCATGAAAAACACCAGCTGTTTTTTTTTTGTTTTTCGACTGCTTGGCTAGAATACACTACAGTGCGTGAAACTATTAAATTCGTTGGGGAAACGGCATTTTTCAAGTATATTTCAAGTATTAATGATGAAGAGGAACATTTTTCACCACCAAGCCTATGCTTGTTGGTGGTTGACCTGCCCCCCTGAAAAATATATTTCAAGTCAGATCGGATCATCATCCAAACTATTGGGGAAAATCAAATTCATGTTCCAAACCACCAACCTGTTGAATTAACATTAATAACCATGATTACTCACCATTAATCACCATTAAACCACCATTAAACCACCATTACACCTTTCCTTTCCACCTTTCCATGGCGCGGCATCGAGCTTTGGATGCAGCCCGCCCGTGTAGTTCCAAAATGTTCCAAACCACCAACCAGCTACGCGCCCACGCGATTAACTGGTTGGTGGTTGACCTACCCCTCTGAAAAATATGACTTCGTCAGTTGGGATAATGACATTCCCAATCTATGGAAACATAAAATTCATGTTCCAAACCACCAACCAGTATTAATTTATCATTAATCACCATGATTACTCACCATTAATCACCATTATATCACCAGTTAATGTTTCTCCAAGGCACACCCTCTGGAAGGATATCTACAGAGAGCACGATGCCTGCGCTTTGTCCATCTCAATGGATTGGTGAAATGAAATTTTCACCGGAAACGCCCCATGATCTGAATGGGAAAATCCATGGTTTCAATGGGAAAATCTATGGTTTCAATGTAGATTTTCCCTTGAAAACCAATCCATTGATTGTCTTGTCTTGTAATGTCTTGTATACTATTAGATGAAAATAGAACCGCATAATCGAACTTAAACCCAACTCTGGGACTGACAAAGCCAGGATTTGGACGCACCTAGAGAACCCGCTACCAAAACTCCCATTTTGACTGGATTATATAATTTTCATGGCAAATCCACACCTCATGATTCCCCTCAGATCAGGATCAAGTTCTAATATGTTCTACAGTTATGGCGGTTTATGAGTTACTGGTTTTAAATGGGGTTATACAATCTATCAATGTGGTTATAAGATGTTATAAGTACTTATAACTGGTATTTTTGGCCATAAAATATATCAAAATATAATGAGATACGCATCCATGAACTTCGGCAAAACGAAGAAAATCATTCACCGTGGCCACCCTTGTGGTTGACTTCCGAGACCCCGAAGACCCATCAGGTCACCGGGGCGCAACAAGCCCCTCGCCTATGAGAAGAATTTGCATGTAACTCACCTGGGCCAGGACGGTGCAAAATCCCTATTTTCCCTATAATATCTATTGGTTAATGGTAAATTTGATGGACATAAATACCCAACCATCAATGAAAAATATCATGCGGATAAATCGTAATAGTTCACTACTCTGAACACTTCGGCTGTTTGGGAATGATTCATGATGGTTGCCCACACGTATACACAGAAAAAGCACCATTTCAGCGGTGACGTTACATTGAGGTCGCGATAATTTATCCAACACTATTTTTTTCTAATTTCTAACAAAAAAAACGTCAGCACGCATACAAATTGAACATTATGCGACGGAGGAGAGGACCATGGCTCTTGAAATCGCACTGGGATCTCATTGACAAACAAAATTTAGGATGATTTCTATTCAGTTTGCAGATCTTGTCGATTAAATCCCACACTTTCGCTAACAAAACCAATCTTTATGGTTGGTTGGAATCCCAAGTCCGTGGCCAATCGTAAAATCATAGGGTTTCAACCAACATTTCATGGTACCCAGTTGTCAATGAAAACGTGTGAAATCCAAGATACACTAGCCTGACAGAAATACAGATTTATAGCAGCAACAACAGCATGGCCTATCAAGCCACCCAGCAAGGTCTATCCAGTTTTGTATGACCTATAAAACTCAAACATTAGCAACATGTTCAACTGAATCTTTCGGATTAGAATCAACAGTAGTTGTGGAACATGCTTGGGGTTTCCCATTTCAGCTACTCAAAAATTCTATCAAACTTCTGGCAAGATAATTCAATCTATACCATGTGCCAAGGTAGATATCAGCACATGAAACAAGGTCTCGACGTGAAACTCAACCAACACCCACTGTGCGCTGCCCAAGACACAATGCTGGAATAGAACCTTAGATCCACATCAAACACCGGTTGCTATGAATTGCCCATAATGTTTTTGATTGTAATCCTCTCTCCCCATTACTAAAACACCACCCCCCAAATGGTAAACACGGTGAGCTATTTTGATTATGAGGGGGTATTTTGTATTAGGGTGCCCCTAATATTCCAATGAAAATCCTAAGAATGAAAAAAAACAACTCGATTTCAAATTTGATTAAATCCCTTTTTAAAATCTATATAACATATTGCCATAAACTGGATTTCGGAGCGTTCCCCTAATATTCCAATGAAAACCTTAATAATAAAAACAAACAAACTCGATTTCAAATTTGATTATATTCATTTAAATCCCATTTCAAAATCTATAAAAATATTGCCAAAAACTGGAATTCGAAGCTTTCCCCTAATATTCCAATGAAAACCTTCATAATAAAAATAAAACTATCGATTTCAAATTTGATTAAATCCCTTTTTAAAATCTATATAACATATTGCCATAAACTGGATTTCGAAGCGTTCCCCTAATATTCCAATGAAAACCTTAATAATAAAAACAAACAAACTCGATTTCAAATTTGATTATATTCATTTAAATCCCATTTCAAAATCTATAAAAATATTGCCAAAAACTGGAATTCGAAGCTTTCCCCTAATATTCCAATGAAAACCTTCATAATAAAAATAAAACTATCGATTTCAAATTTGATTAAATCCCTTTTTAAAATCTATAAAAATATTGCCAAAAAATGGAATTCGAAGCTTTCCCCTAATATTCCAATGAAAACCTTCATAATAAAAATAAAACTATCGATTTCAAATTTGATTAAATCCCTTTTTAAAATCTATATAACATATTGCCATAAACTGGATTTCGAAGCGTTCCCCTAATATTCCAATGAAAACCTTAATAATAAAAACAAACAAACTCGATTTCAAATTTGATTATATTCATTTAAATCCCATTTCAAAATCTATAAAAATATTGCCAAAAACTGGAATTCGAAGCTTTCCCCTAATATTCCAATGAAAACCTTCATAATAAAAATAAAACTATCGATTTCAAATTTGATTAAATCCCTTTTTAAAATCTATATAACATATTGCCATAAACTGGATTTCGAAGCGTTCCCCTAATATTCCAATGAAAACCTTAATAATAAAAACAAACAAACTCGATTTCAAAGTTGATTATATTCATTTAAATCCCATTTCAAAATCTAAAAAAATATTGCCAAAAAATGGATTTCGAACTTTTCTCCTGATATTCCAATGAAAACCTTCATAATAAAAATAAAACTATCGATTTCAAATTTGATTAAATCCCTTTTTAAAATCTATATAACATATTGCCATAAACTGGATTTCGAAGCGTTCCCCTAATATTCCAATGAAAACCTTAATAATAAAAACAAACAAACTCGATTTCAAAGTTGATTATATTCATTTAAATCCCATTTCAAAATCTAAAAAAATATTGCCAAAAAATGGATTTCGAACTTTTCTCCTGATATTCCAATGAAAACCTTATATAATAGATATTTAAAGAAAAAACTTGTGAGATGGGGCCACAATCCAAAACCTCCAGGTGGCAATCTATGTTTATTGGGGGCTGAGCCCATTGTTTCACCATCCTGTTCTCCTATTAATTCTCAATTACCACGACCACAATTAAGAATCCAATTGTGCCCAACCAAAAAAAAAACGGAATCCGGAAGTGCCACACCAATCCTTTTTTCTTATTTGGGAGAGTTTTAGTAGTAGGAAGAAGAGATTAGTTGTTAAACCCCAGTCAAAAATACACACTTTTGTTGCTAAGACAAAGTGACATATCCCAAACCCGCCGATAAATTATCGTCTTCCTCTTCCCTATGAAATTTGCCATAAATTTAGGGATGAATCTCCAGTTTTCTGACAGTTCCACAGTTTCCCAAATTAAATCCACATGTTTGCTGGTAAATCCCCAACTTATCTACCAGTAGCCGACCATTTACGGAGGTTGAAAACCCTGGTTGCTTCCTAGCTCCCGTGCTAAAAGTTTAACTGCTGATGGTTATGTCTAAATTATCATTATCAAAAACATATTTAAACATAGAAAGGCTCAAGTCAATGGCTGGCAACCACCACAAATTCTCTAGTTCAATCCCAATTTTCCCTGGTACTCGTACCACTGGTATCCCTGAGTTCATCACCATTTCCCAAGGGTCAAACTTGTCAAACCCCCGCCACTGCCATCGCGGTGCTGCATCAGCGGTGGTGCAGGATAGGGTGCCGGCTGCACGCGCAGCGGCGCAGAGGCGCGAGTGTGGATCAGCTGGGCTATTCTCGGCGGGAGATGAGGATCGATCCGAGGAGTTTTAGCAGGGTACCAATTGATCGACGTTTAATCCCAAAAATGTGATGATAATGAAAGTGAGCGGGTTTAACCGATTGATAGTTGCAAAAAAAACGCTATTGAGATAGTTAAAAACCATTTGATTTGATAATGTTTAAAATCCCAGAATCATGGAGCCAGTTGATGGGTTTGTCATGGGTTTTTTCAACATCGATAGGGATTTAACCATCAAATGGGAGATCCAAAGACCTTTAACATTGGTAGTTGGAGCACTTAACCGTTTAACCATAAAAAATAGGGATTGAACATCAACTTGACATGTATTTAAGCCATTTGATAGTGGAAAGTATGGACTTTTGAAAAAACCTTCTGAGTGAGAAGTCTAAGACCCGTTTTTCCGGAACACCGTTTGATGGAAACTTGTATGTTGCTGGGATTTAAGATTATTTGAGCATCAAAGAGGGTTATATATGGGTCCTTTACTATAATCAATTGGAAATTCATCAAAAGTAAGGATCCATGGGAACAAACCACCTTTGGGGATGACTTCAGCAGCGTGAACAACCTCTTGTAAGAACAAAAACAAAGTATCGGCTGGCAACCTCCATAATGCGGGGTGGCAACCTCCATAATCGACCACTTGACGATTTTACTGCTAATACCTTGAGCAATATTGCCCTCTTTTATAAACCCAACTGTAGATATGTTCACCATATCTCCCATTAGCCTAGTCATAAACCAACTTACCGGGCATTTTGGGCTGCCCTCCTTGTTATGAACGCATGCTTCGAAAAAGCTTCAGAACTAGCCCCAACCAACAGCTTGACTCTCAATTGCCAAGAGACTGATTAAACAGCCCGTTTGTACCTGGCAGGGCACGTGCCCACATTTCAGGGACAAGTTGCGTGGTTGGTCATGGTTGATGAGTGATCTCTAAGCTTCCCCGTCCTAAAATGACACCTCAACCGCCTCACCTCAACCCTAAATCTGATGTTTTGTTCCATGGTATAACTGAGAGCTGGCACCAGATTGAGACACGTCATCCTCAGTAGTTTCTTCAGTTTCTTCTTTATGCATGGTTCATTTGCATTTCTTTTCAGAGTGTCTCCTAAACCGTCAGATCTAAAAAAGGTCAGTTAAACCTCCAAATTTGAACCCATCAATTTTCAAGCAGTTTACATCCTTTCAATATCATCGGTATTTGACAATGTGGTACATCTAAAATCCCATGGTTTACCATCATTTCCCTAAAATTTAAACATAGTTATTACATACTTATTACTATTACATATTCAAACAGCAATGTCATACCAAATGCCAGGTATCTAAGTTTGGCCATAGATATAGATGTACAACAAATACTTGGCCATGTTTTCTTGGTTGCCCTGGTGACCTCCAACAGCCCGTTTTTCACAGCATGGACTCCACCCCCCCCACCTCAGCTCTGGCAAAATTGGATGGTGCAAACCTTGTCCGAACCATGGCCCAGTCGAAATAGTGGATTGACCCAGCGAAAAAGATGGTGGATCTTTCCAGTTCGTTATGTGGCTGTTTACCAGAGGGTATATATATATATAAGGTGGTGTCCAATAGTTAGCTAAGTTGGTATATAACTCCAATAACTATGGTTTATGGTAGATATATCTATACTTACTATGCTTATAATGCAACTTTTGACTGAGGGGGTCACCACCTTATAGATATATGGTTCTAGATCAAAAAATGGGTACGCTTAAAATAGAGGTTAATACTAAAAATAGACTAACATCTGTGATACCTCAGGTTTTAACTTTGACTCAATCTCATCTAGTAATCCCTTGCCCGGAAAAAAAAAGTGTATCTACTTTAATGAGGATTTTACGTTTCTATATTTTTGGGGATGACTCTGGCTGAATTACATAACAATTCACCTTAAGCTCAAATCAGGCACATCGAACGACGGTCGTAAGGTCGTTATTTCATTCAGCCAGATTTACGGTTTCAGAACATGGTTTCCCTAGATCTATACCCTCTGGTAAACAGCCACATAACCATAGAAAATCACCATGTTATAGCTGGAAAAACTATGGAAAGATCCAGCATTTTTCATGGGAAAACTATGGGAAGATCCACCATTTTCAATAGGCAAATCGGCAAATCCACTATTTCTATGGCCGTTTTCAATAGCAAACTGTTTGTTTACCAGAGGGTATATCCCATTAATATCCCATTAATATCTAATTGAATCACTATAAAATCCATAGTTATGTGTTTTTTTTCCTCATCTACGTTTTTTTTCTGGGGCAGAACTTGTCTGAAAAAGGGGGCACCGCTGAAATCTTAGGGTTGATCATCACTCGAATACTATTCACATGGCAAATTTGGAGTATAACGATGGTCATTACCCTCTGGTAATTTAACGTAGCTATTGAACATGGTGATTTATAGTGGATTTTCCCATGAAAAATGGTGATTTTACATAGTTATGTTAGTTTACCAGAGGGTAATCCATTTGATATACAGCAACCAACCAACAAAAAACATGATGTAATCACCACTTTACTGGGATTTACTGTTCCATCCTTTGAGGATTACTATAACCTCTGCTGACTCCAAAATAGTGAAGTCCAGGACAAATAGCTTGGTTCTGAACAGCTTCCGTTTTGCATATGGTGGGCTGTGGGAAGCTTGGTGGTTTGTTGATTCCCCTGTAAGTTGTCATTTTTCAGCTGGATATGGGTTTGTCTGAAAATAGTGTATCTGGTTACTGGTTGGTGGTTTCAAACACATTGAAAAATATGAGTTCGTCAATGGGAAGGATGACATCCCATATATATGAAATGGAAAATAAAAGCCATGTTTGAAACCACCAACCAGGTATCCATGTGTATCCATTGGTTAGTCACAATTTTCATCCATTTTCCCTATGAAAAAAAACGCCATTTGGGGGTCAAAAACACCAGTCATCCGATCCCGGGGTATCCCCAGAATCCATCCAAATCCCATCTGGTTCATCAGCATTTTCCCCTATAAAATGCCATAGCCATGGACCATAAACTACTGGGGGTATAGCCATAGAAAAATAGCCATAGTTAGAAAAACATGTTCAGACACACCCAATCGGATATTGATGATCATATCCTAAAGGGTTCCCTCACTAAATTATAATTTTCCATCGTTTAAACCACCATTTTGCCTCAACTCACCATTTTTGCCCCGTGAAATCACGCTTTTCCCATGTCAAAGCTTCCCATTTTCACGTCCCTTCGGCGCCAGCCCAACCGTCCCAGGTTGGGCCCCGGCATTGTTGGGCACTTCCGGTGGAGGCACCACGTGCTTCTCCGACAGTGAGGCCTAAGGTGTCTCTAGTCACATCCTGGAAACACTGAAATTGGCATCTTTTGGGGTGCTAAAAACAGAGGAAATTCATGCTTTCTGACTCAAACAAACACAATCTCAAGCCTCAATGCGATCCAGGTGCATGCGATAGATCCAGAAATGAAATTAGGAAGACTTGGTTTTTAACCGGAGGAATTGTAAGGTTACTGCATCACAACAAAACAAATAGGGATAAGTAGGGATAGTCGTAGGCTTAGTCTGCTGAGTCCAGTGAACGAGTCTTGTGGTGAGTTACCAAGTTGCGTGGGAATGGTGGGCTGTTTTTTTTTGGTACCCTGGCTGTTCAGTCCGGATGACAAGCTGTCACTGTGATCTAGTTCACCAATCTGACATATCTGGTAATGTTATTGTAATGTTAGCTCTCTGGCAAAATCATAATGTTGTGATATCCAGCTGACATACCATCTGGTTATGACTAACATAGCCATGGAAAATTGTATTTTTTAATAGGTAAACCATCTATAAATGGGCCATTTTCCATGGCTATGTTAAATAGCCAGAGGGTATCATATGTGTTGCCGTTTTGGATAATCCACCCAGAAAGTTGCCATCATAGTGAGGTCGCAGTGAAGCTGTGATAATTCAACACCAACCCTAGGCCCTAGTTATGTTGGTTGTTAATCCCCCCTTTGACTATCAAAACTTAAATCATCACCAATTCTCAAATTTATTTAAAAAAAAGTTCCCATCTATTTCCTACAGTCATTGAGTCATAGCCCCAACAAATATAGAATTATTTCATTCTAACCAACTAGTTAATGTGGGTGAAACAATAATAAACCGTTTCGCAGTCATCACCATTTTAATAGGTGGTATGTTTAACATTCCCAGTCATGGGTGGTTTATGACATTGTTTTACGCACATGATATTCACATTCCCATGACTATACTATGATTAGTCATTAACTATATAATATAGTATATATCATATCCCCTTAATATCCCATTCATATACCATTAATATTCCATTAATTACTAAACCATGGTTTGCTATACCATTACTGGTTGGTGGTTTCAACCATCTTTAAAAATATGAGTTCGTCAATGGGAAGGATGACATCCCATATAGTATTATCGAAAATAATCCAGCCATGTTTGAAACCACCAACCAGGTATCCATGTGTATCCATTGGTTAGTCACAATTTTCATCAATTTTCCCTATCATTTGATAGCCATTTGGGGGTCAATTTTACACCAAACAGGGACGTTGCGACGCGCCAGGTGCCTGGTTTCTAGTCATCTGATCCCAAAAGGAATATTAATATGGGATTTTCCATGAAATAAACTACCATGACTATTGGGATTTTAATGGGATTTTAATGGGATTTTAATGGGATTTTACCATTCAGCTATTGGGGATCCTCCATGACTATGGAAACCTCCATATCTTTCCCATATTGCCCCTGAGCAGCCGGGCCATCCACCGCTGAAGCCCAACCTCACTCCTCAGGCGAAGGCCCGGGGAAACCGACTTGCGAAGTTGAAATGTGTAGTGACATAGAGTTATAGTAACCCCCAAAAAAAGACTTAAAAAAAACATCAAAAAATAGTGATAAATTGGTTGTTTCCCTATCTGATATTGGGGATTGCTAGGTATTCGATGGGGTTACAAAACCACTTATATAAGCTATAACTGTGAGGCCCCTTCCTGTATGGGTCAACAAAAATCGGAAGCATCTTTTTGAAGCGTCGGTCAAAGTGACCAACAATGGAGCGTCAAATTCCTAAATCGTATGGGTCAAAGTGGTGAACTCCAATTTTAATTGGATGGATAAAATATGTTTAAAATCAAGAAAATGACCTGGCCGTAGCATCCTGAAACCAAACCATCCATGATGCTTTTGCTGGGTACCCCATCCATGTCCTGGGAGAGCCATGAGAAACATGGACATGTTTGTGTTCTTGCAGAGCCTAAAATAAAAAGATCAAACCTGACCTATGTATAAAAGGTAATAAAGGGTATATAAGTGTACAAGTTTGTTGTTGCGTGTGTGATTCCTTCTATGAACTACCTTTCATCAGGGTATCACACATATTTGACTAAACATTGAGCTACTAACCTGTGCTGCGTATGTCCAACCAATATATATCGATAATTTGCTGGTTGTGCATTCCAATTCTAGTTGTTCAATCTCCCAACCTGGCTAGTTTGAATCCAAATTATTGAGAATCACAAGCTCAATTTGAAACAAAAATCACTATGGTAGTCTAATTCCATCGTTTTCCTGGTAAACGAACAATTTTTGTTACTTACCTATTTGTTAGAATCCCCAGTTTATCTTGGTGGTTTGTTGATCCCCTAATTAAGTTCCAATCCGATGAACATTTCTGAAGGAAGTCAAAAATCCACTCATATATCCAAAACCTAACATATTTCCCCTTTAACCTTTGCAATAGGGAACATGTTTCCCTGTGCTTGCGAATGATATCAGTCTTTATTCACCTTCACCAAAACAGCGACAAAACCGGATCTGTTAAAAATAGGAATGCTAGAAACTGTTTCATCACTAGTTCGTGGTTGACCTACACTTCTGAAAAATATGAGTTCGTCAGTTGGGATCATGAAATTCCCAATATATGGAAAGTCATGAAATTCATGTGGTGGTGGATCAAAACCTATTTATTTGGGGGAATAAATATCCACTAACCAGAAATTGTAGACCTAGGTACCAAGGTTTTGACCCATACCCATGTTCCAAACCACCAACCAGATCACCATGTTCCCCGTAAAAAAAAAAAACAAAAACCTCGGCCGCACAGCAATGGTCCCGGCTCGGCCCCCGACGCGGCTTGTGCCACAGCAATGGTGCTGGCCAGAGCCAGAGCGCCCAGAACCTGGAAGATACGGCCAGGGCATATCACATTTTTTATGATGATTACCCTCTGGTAAATTAACATAGACCCTGGTAGATAGGGGTTGGAAGATTAGTTTCCTCTAAAAAATGGTGATTTTCAGGGTCTATGTTAATTTACCAGAGGGTATACTGTATACGAACTATATGTATAACATGATATTGTTGGTTTATAACATATGTACATATATATATATATAGTAGTTATATTCTAAGAATCATAGTTAGTATATATAACGATATAATGTATCAATGATATATGATCTTTAACAGGTATCATGATGGTTTATAGATGATCCTTATATGGTGTATATATATATATAAATAACCAATGTCTATAATATAAGGATCATCAATGATCTATAATATATCAATATAAGGATGGTTCTATGATGGTTTATACTAACTATGTATATGATGATTATATGTATAACATTGTATTAACTAGATGATTATGTATAACTATAATTGTATAATCATGATGGTTATTTAACATCTATATATTATATGGGGTATATGATATATTTATGAGATACAATGATGGTTATATGTATAACATTGTATATCTATAACTATGATGGTTATATGATGGTTTGTTATACTAACCATCTATGTACAAACTCAGACTCAGCAATTATCATGATATACAATATGGGATTGAATTGTCACATCATCTCCGTGCGATCCAATATCCCAACAAATATATCCATATTTCTGTAGACATATATCCATGGTGGTTTTTCAAATCATCATTTCTATCATAAAAAGAAAACAACATTATCCAGTTAGATCGCGAAAAAACAAAAAAAACATGCCCCCACTTAGAACCTGAACTTTCCGATGTGGAACCCATCTTTTTGCAGGATCCCACATGTTCCCAATTTTCCCAGATTTTTTGCTTCTACAAAGTGCCCCCCCCCCAGTTGTAATTGTTGGCTTATTACCCCATGAATACTAGAATTTTCCCAGATTTTTTGCTTCTACAAAGTGCCCCCCCCCCCAGTTGTAATTGTTGGTTTATTACCCCATGAATACTAGGTAACTAAGTCGTTATAAGTATCAAATATAGTTGTAGCCCCGTTAGAGCTGTAAGTGTGCAGCAATGTTGCGCAGTAGCCTTTTGGCATCCACCCTGAAGGTGTCCGGAAGGTCGGCCCGAAACTCGTGGCCTGGTATGGCGAGCACATTGAACAGGGCCTCCTTGTCCTGCTGTAGCTCCCACGGTCGAGGAAGCTGAGGCAGAGCCGGCACAGCTGCATTCTCCTCCAACTCCAACTCCAACCGGCCACGTAGTTTGGCACCAGATCTGGTGGCCAAAAGGTCCTCACCTAGGACTCAATGACATTAAATTACTCATTCATGATTCATGATTAATGATTGATTGATTCATATATTATAATCTATACTATGACTATGTTTTATATAAGTAATAAAATAGACTAATAAAACATGACATTGTCATTAACGAGTCATGAGTCACGAGTCATTCATCATTAATCAATGTATCATAGAATCATATATCACATATCATATATCATATATCATGAAAAAATCCAATGAATTATTAAGTATTTATCCGCCGGTAAGTTTCATTGAACCCCCCTTTTAAGTACTTCGAGATGTCTATGGATCAATACTTCTAGAGCAATTTGTTAGGGGATGAACATCCATAAATCCCAGCTATTTTGATGTGAACTACAGGGGTACAGGGTTTTGTCCCATCCCTATATATCATGATATATGGAGGTTTCCTGAAATAGGGGTACCCCTAAATCATCAATTTTAAGAGGATTTTCCCTTACCATCCAGCTATTGGGGTATCCCGCTTTATGGACACCTCCATATATCTACAGCATCATCGACACCATGATCGAGCCCCTGGGGCCACAAACCAAGGCCGCAAGCATCACAGGTGAGGCTTCCTGCTGTCTCTTAAGCCACAGGAAAACCATGATATATAGGGATATCTATGGATATATGGTAGGGAAAAACTATATAGCTAGAGGGATATCTATACCTGCTCCTTCCATCTCCCCTGAAAAGTAAGGATACATGAAATAACCCGGTTCTCTGACCCAAAACCTGCATTTCCCATTTGCCCTGATGTCTCCGCGGCAACTTTTGTCAAGCACATCGTGGACGATCAATCCTGACTGTCCGGGATCCTGGATGCAAGTGGGTTTAGGACAAATTAGTTGATTTTTGACCCATAAATTGTATAAATTTATTTTAAGGTGATCAAATATGTTTGTATAGAACGCGTAGAATGATAAAGGTGATAAAGGGTTGTTTAAGTTTCAATCTGCATCCATAATCAAAAGACCGGCGCTCACATAATGCGAGTAAGCCGCTTCCATGCAGCGCAAAAGAGTGTTCTTGATAGTCTGAAGAATCGAAACCCTTCGACTGACTCGCGATGGTCTACCTACGTAGTCTTCGTCAGCCTGACAGCTGTAAACTAAAGGGTTCCAAACCCATTCAGAGACTTTGCTTTGCTTCTCCATGTCGTCGGTGATGTGAGCCAACCGATGTAGGTTTGGCATCAGCATGAACAACTGCCTTCGTGAGTGAAAACAAACACGGACTGCCTCTCCATATTTTTCCAAAAACATGTCGCCCTGTCTTGCTAAAAAACTAGCTTTTTCAGACTTGATCCAAACATCTTGCTTGTAGAGGCCTGACAAGAACGTACTGATGGCTTCAGTAGCATCGCAAACAATCATGAATAGTTCATTAGATTCCAGATCGTTGCGATTAGATCTGCACTCATGCAAAAACCATTTTGAAATCACTGTAGTTGCTGCCCCTTTGCTCCATCTGCCGCATGGGAAAACATTGCTCTGTGGCCAAGACAGAGAGTCCTTGCTGAATCGACGAACCACTGGGGATATTTTGTTGTTTGTGCACCATGCCAAGTACCGGTTTGTAACTGTCTCAAGTCGAGTGTCAATACTTCCTTCAAACATAGTGCTCAGCGCAAACACAATGATTGCTGAAGCCAGGTAGGTTCTGCCTATTCCAAGATGCCACGTATGGAATAGATCGAACTCAAAGAATGCCGGTGCATCTTGTGGATCCACCACTAAGCCCAGCAATGCTGGAGCTCTTGCAAATGGGCTCAGTGTGTTGATGCTACTCTTCCACGTTGGTTCTGAAGTCAAATCTTCCCAAGGATAGCCAGGCAAGTCGGCACAACACCTGTGGCATATCCCCTTTGGGGATGCCTTGCTAGACTGGTGCTTTGCCACGTTCTGGAAAGACCTGTTCAAACAGCCGGCCTTGACAATAAAGGGCCAGTCGCCCATCACCCGGATGGTCGCAAAGAATTTTTTTTTGCCAGACCTGTCAGTTACCCCAGTCTCATAGAGCATGCGTAGGTCTTGAGTCAAAACTCTCAAAAGATCTTGGAATACATCGATCTCTTGTCCATCGTCCAGTTTGTAGAATGAACGCGGCAAAACAGAAAGCAAAAAGCGAGTAGTCCACGTTGAATGTTCAAAGTTCATTCTGTTGAATGCAAATTCATCTCTCTTCTTTGAAGTTGAAATTCCATGGCCCAAAACACTGTGCGCGCTAAGGATCATAATTGGGGCCTTTTTGAGGGTGCGCCCCTCGTCGCCATGAATGAGTAGAGCACATGTTCGTGACAAGTCTATGTCTTCTCTTTGAAACACTTCGTGTCCCCCATTGATTTTGCGATACCTTTCCCAAAACAGTGTCCAGATAGCGCAGCAGCGATCGTGATTTGGAGTTTCAAGTCCTGTTAGGTTGTGCCATAAGTTGTGCTTCATGATGAAAGACGCCCAAGCTGACATTTTCACATAGTGGATTACGCCAGTGGGTACCTTCAAAGAATTCAATGGAAGCCCAAGCGTAATTTTGTACTTCTTGGACAAGCGGTGGGCATCCCTTTCTGATTTTTTTTCAGCACATGACGCTAATGCTGCAATACTGCTTGCTGCAGCTTGTGGAACTTCCCGTGTGATTGCACGAGCTGTTCGAATAGCCACTGCACAGGGAACCTAAGCGGTGGAAATGATTGTTAGTTCAAAAGATTTCACAAAAGTAGGGTGAAACAGTCTCACAACAACTCACTGAGTCTGGAAATCGAAGATTTAGTTTATGCCTGTGAATTGCTGAGGTTTTAACCCCCGCTCCGATTTCGCTGACCAACTGGCGAAGGCCTGGCCCAGCACCTGGCTAACATACTGTGCCAAGTTGAAACTAGACGATACTATGATGTAAAGTTCTTGACGCAGCCAGATCAGTCAGCAGAACTCAATGTATTGTTTTTTTTCTTCCTCTGCGACTGCATCTTAGCAGGGGGAATTTGTGACCCCAGACCCCCTACAGTGGTCATGTCAATTTCAACTTTCAACCGTTGAGATTTCAACGGTGCTTCAAGATAGCAACATGTCAGAAAATGATACGCTAGATCACTGACATCACTCAGTCGGCTGGCGGGTTTGGCAGACTCTAATCACAATTCCAAATGGTGGAGACTTTATGGTGCGTAAAGGTTACCAAGAAAATGGAAATGAAAATTGTTCATCCCACCGTCCACCAGTCCCAAAGAGATAGGAAAAGTATGTGCTTAACGCCTGCGGCGTTTGGGGACCGACTTAGCCTTTGCCTTGGGCAATGCATCCTCTGCAATACGCTTGCTCTGTCGGGGTTTGTCATCAGTCCTCCGGGAAGTGTCCGCCGCATTCTTATCCAGGAACTGCTTTGACTTCCTTAATGGATGAGCTGGGTGAACTACATCCTTTGACTTAAGATATACAAGAAATCATATGTAGTGTTTTTTGGGGGCATTGATCTAAAAGTGGAATCATAAGGCAAGATCTCTTAAGTTCGTAATTGTCCTATATGTTAATATTGGACTCTACCTTGCTAGCACTGGCATCTCTTGACCGTTCAGGCCGTGGCCGAACTTTGGTTTCAGCAGCAGTGGCGCGACTCGTCCTGAGCATCGGGTTAACAGGATGGCCATGCAGGGATACTCTGGTTATGGAAATTGACACCTGGGTTCATACCACTAAGTTCGATACGTGAAAGTGGCCTTCTTCATCTTTTCATGGGCCAGGTTCCACCACCTTGTATGGAAATGAAACAAAGGAAACCCTTTATTGTATGAAACCACTTTTATACTAGTATTGATTTCATGGACCCGAGTGGATCAAATGAGGCATCGGCTCCCCACCAAAGCTAGATGACTCTCCCTTCGCAAGCTCATCGTTCAGAACATCATATTCCGTCTCCAACTTACCGATGTGCTCGGTCAATGTTTTCAACGACCTAAGCTAGAGGATATATTTTTTTGTTTGGCATACATGGGATATAAGAAACATTCCTGTTACTCACATTGGGAAAATCAAGGCTTCAACGCTGCATTGGACTCACTGGTATAGTCCCGTTTGATCTCCCGGTGCAGGCTCTTCAATTTGGTGATGGTTTTGAGGCAACTGTCCATAAACTTCTTGAAGTGCTCTTTGTTCTAAAGGGTTGGCAAAGATAGGTGAAGTAAAATGTACAATCATCGAAACATAATGTTTATATTTTTAAAATGAGAACAACAAGGATGAAAGAACCCTCCAATCCTGAATGTTCTTAGCATTGGTGATAGCATCTTGACCGGGAGTAGCAGAGCCATTTGCAGCTTCTGCGGTAGCAGCTGGTACGGCCATGCGGTTGACCCCATCTTCCAAGTCGTTGAACATGTCATCAGCAATCGCCACCGGGGCGTCGCCCTCACAAAGATTAGGATGCTTAAGTTTGTGTTGGGGATATTTTTATGCAAATAGTGCCAAATGAACACCAAAGATTTGTTGAAAAAAAAATCCATAAATTTCTAACCGAGCCTTTTCGAGGGATCTTTTCTTATCTTCAATTTCCCGGGCATCTTCCTGGCTTCCCCGTTCCCGGGTCACAACCCAGAATTCCATGACATTGTCATAGACGTTGCACCTGGCACGCAGGCGTTTTTTGGGCAAACAGTGGTGTCAGGAGTAAGGAGTACGTTGGAGGCCTGCAGTGGGTCTTGACTCGCTCAGGGGCTTGACAATAGGCTTTGGCTCCATTGATACGAGTCCTGGGCCAAACCAATTTGATAACATTTGAAAATATTTGTAACTAAACTGCTGTGTAATTGTTTTTGCAACCAAAAGTTCGTAGTCCAAGAGAGATCCACCTTCATCTCAGCTTCCGAGTACCAGCCCGCATCTCTGGTGATTTTGATGCTGCGTTTGTTTGTGACGATGCGTTCCATCTCGACTAGGAATTTGTCCTATCATGGCTCATGACCATAAAACCGCTGGACTTAGAAACAATAATCTCTAAAGTCAATACCAATTCATTTGATTGAATTTTCACAATTCAACCACTCCTTAGACCAATTCACCTCTTGCAAGCACAGTGCCATTTGGGTTCTTGCTGCTGTACCCTTCTCCCACTCCAACTTGATGAACTCTGGTGCTGCAAGGTCAGTCCGCTTGGACTTCTCTTGCACCATTCTGCGAACTCGTGCCTTTGCAGCATTGAGGAGCTTCTCCTGAGCACCCATGGGAAACAAGTTGCCATGACAAACGGCAGTAAACTTGACTGCTGGTATGGCTAACAGATTTTGAGCGCATAGCAAGATAAAATATATAAGGCTTGTTTAGCAAAGTATCACGCCGGGTCAAAATAATTTTCTTCCTCTTGCGTCGGCCAGGTCCTGCCACCTGTGGTTCCTTCGCTTTGCCTTCAGGCGCCGGTGGATCATCAGGGTTGGGACACTCTTCACCATCTTCATCATTAGAATCTTCCTCTTCTTCCTTTACAGTGAATCCACTAAAGGCCAAGGCCAGTTGAACTGACAAATCATCGACTTCAATTTCCCCATCCTTAGGCAGTCAGTTAGCAACAATTCAGATTGAATAGAACGTACATGACTTTGTTTCAGTTGCTTTGAAGGTTTGTAAGCCGAACACGTTCTCATAGCCATCGACCTCTACAGGGTCCAACTGGTCCACCTTTTCAGTTTCCTCACCCATAGGAGTGGCAACCTGCGACATTCATATGTTGGGAGCGCTTGAAAGGGAAATTAAACAAAATAGAATGGTCATATAATTGTTTTGTACTATATCCAAAGATGGCCTCTGTCGCTGAACTCCCCGGCTCAGCTGGGCTGCTGGAAGCCTCCAAAACCAAAAACAAAAAGATGCATGAATAATTGAAAGTTTGGTGATTTTCAGAGCTGCATTGCCATGTTAAACATCTAATATCAGTATGATTAGTGGACTTGCCTCATGGGCCACTTCAGTTGAAGCTGTAGTGGAAAGGTCATCCCTGCTTAGATCCTCCATTTGCCCAACTTGCTTGGCCACAGGCGGCAGCAGGAGCTGCGTCTGGTCAACCAAGGCAACCTCAGAGATCGGCTGGGCATGGGAGGGGATGCTATAGGGGCTAGCGAGTTATAATAGTTACATACAGGGTTCTGGTAAGATGATCTATGATCTATTAGAAGTGTAAGGTTTGTAGAATTTTTGAGGTTTGTGCTGGAGAAGTCTCAGTAGCCGTGACGCCCAGCTGTTTCTGAATTTCCTCCATGAAAGTGGTGCCGGGGCAAGAAGAACAAAAAATGTAATGAATCAGTAACTACCATCAGGCCCTGCCTCAATTTCCATCATCAGTTTCTGTTCCTCATCTCTAAGATCGTCATCAGGCAGCATGTCGCCCATGACATGTCGGAAGCCAGCCTCAAGAGAGGAGCAAGACCAACGGTTGGACATGTTGGTATAAGGGTCGGCTACAACAACTTTCACCCTTTGAGCAAAGGTTGCCAATAGGATGAGCATAGTTCAGGCTCATGGTATTCACTGCCAAATGTGCACATGTAGCTTCCACAAAAAAACAATACAGAACCTGATCATACCTGATAATTCTCATTTTTTTCCTTTCCTCATCGGCGTCGATGTCCAAGTAGCCCACTGGATCCGGGCAAGATGCAGGAAAAACAGCTAAGTCGGCATGTTTTTTGGTGGTTCCCGAGCCATGTCAAAATGCAGGTTTTACACTACGGGACATTATGGGATATGTACGGGAGATTATGGGATATTTACGGGTTCCATACGGGTTTCCCAAAATGCAGGTTTTGTCGGAATATGGGATTTGTATGGGAAGAATATGGGATTTTATGGGTAATTATGGGATTTGTATGGGAAGAATATGGGATTCCTCTCATATCCCAACTTTTGCCCGCAAATTCCGATGAAATTCCGATAAAAATGTTTAAATTAAGGATATTCTGCATATCAACAGTTCATTCCGACTTAGTTGTTTCCATTCGGAATTCCGAATTGAAGTTTTAGTAAAACCCTTTAGGTTTCCATTTCGACCATTTCCATCCGTTTTGAAAAGGAAATGTCTTCAGGAATGGTGTGTGGAAGCAATTCTTTCCAATGCATCGGGAGGCATAGATATTTACAGCCCCGTGCATATTCATAAACAGTGTGAAGGCCTGCAAACGCAAACAGGCCTTGCTCATCAGCAGCTTCATCGCTCATGGTCACAGTCTCTGGTCCTGAAGGCGGCGTGTCGACGAAGCAGGGTGAGCGAAATAGATTTTTATGGCTGTTGGTCTGGTTTGCAAGAAGTTCATCTCGAAGCCGTAGGACAGCAGCACCAAATGCTTTGGGGTAATTCCTAAGTCAGGTTGGCAAACAGCAATCTCTATAATTGATAACACATTTTTCAATTAACAACATTTTAACACAGTTGAAATTGATTTTTAAAAAATATGGTGAAATTTGGCCAAACTTCTCCGTTCCACGAAGTTTGTCTGTTCCTTTGTAGCACACCTTGCCAGCCCTGTTGGTGTACTTCTCAACTGTGGTGATTTTCGATTTGAATCCCTTTTTTGACCCAATGTCAAGTTTGCCAATACTACGACTGTTGCTGTAGGCCCAATGCCTTTTGGGGCTTTGGGATCCGTACATCATCATCCACCATCGAGTCTTCCAGACCTGGGCGAGGGTTATGTAGTAGCTAATTTACCGGGGATTGGGGCTGCACACTGAAAATGGCAAAGATTGGATTCTGGGGCTGTGACTGCACATGTCCCAAAGACTTGGTATTGTCGTGCCAAGAAGTGTAGCCATGCCGGGTAGTAATCAAGGACTGAACTTCCCGGCTGCTCCACTACCCATACACCAAAGCATGCTGTCACCAGTTGACAAAGGCATATAGTCCTAGGGGATGCAGGATGAAGATATACATGGATCTCTTTGATGTTGAAATATTCTAAGCACATGGTGGGCTTTGTTAGCGGCTATATACCATAAATTCCCATTCAGACCCCTTTTCAACTTTTGGCAGGTCCGATCCTTTCCAAGAGGCAGTTAGCTTCTTTCACACTCTTGTACCAGTCACGGCCAATGGAAGCTGCTGCACTGCGCCCACTGGTACCCACGTTCATGCCACAGAAGGAGGAACATTTCATAGCAAGCCAAGCTATAAAATCTTGGGATCGCCCTTTCATCACCATAACGCAGGCTAGTCTTAGCTGAAATTTGTTCAAAACATGAACTCTTGAAATATATATTATACCCTAAATACCCCATACAAAAATGATAGCCAATCAATACGAATAATAACCAATTATTTGGGGAACCTTTGAAAGAATTTCATCTATCAAAAGATATGAAGATCAGTCAAGAAACATAAAGCCAGAATTGCTCGTCAAGTCATAGTAGTTTGAAGTTTTGCGGCCCTTCCTTGTTTTGGAGTTTTTCTGATCAAAGAACTTGATGTCCAACCGGGCTGCCCGGTACCCTGCCTCCCGCTGGCTGTGCGTGCAGGCAGACATGCCTGCAAAGTATTCCACCCAGTCGACCTCCTGAAGGCCAAGTTGGAGAAGGGACTATGGCTACCTGGGGTGGTTGATGATTCCCCCACCTCATCGAGGTTGTAGAGGCCCTTCGTGTGGTAGATCATGACTATGATTTTCAAAAAAGCCTTGGAGGAAATGCGTTGGTGCTTGGGAAGGGTTCCATTAGTTGTGGAAGCTTCGTGCAAGAAGAATTGGATTGAATATGATTGACCATATTTGACCTTGACACCTTAGGCCTTAAGATTATTTGACTTTAAGAACAATCAGTTAAGTGACGGTCGGAGATCCCAATTTTCGGAGCATCCATAGCAGGAAGGACAAGTCCATCTCATGATCAACATGACTCTGGGGCATGGCGTCTACAGGCACTCAGCTAAACTTCACCCTCTATTGAACTTTTTCTGATAGAAAAAGCAGCAGTGGAGTCAAGCATTTGGAGACGATTTGCTGGATGAAAGTTTTTTTGGACACAACTCAGTATGAGAAGAAACCCAAACATGTCAGGAGCACTTCGGCTTTTGTAGATTGCCTTCCTCACTCGCCGGGGTCTGGACACGCTGCCCAAACATCCACGCCATAGACCTCATTTTGGGCATCGATGATTGTTTTGGTTTATTTCCCACTTGAAGATCAATATATAGGGGATTCGAATTGGCTGGGAATGGTTTCTGAAGAGAAGATCATGACCCTTTGTTCTGATATGTCGTGATTTGAAGGAAAACAATCCACTCTTGTCATCCCATAGCAATACTTTTCATCTTCATCGATCTCTCTCAAACCGTCTTGGCTTCACTGCAGGCAGCAGACAGCGACGAACTATGCTATCCACCGGCTGGCAGTCGACAGTGAGGACTGCTTTTCCCAGTTCACGGCCAACCCCTTACTGAGCATCTTGTTGATAAATAACACATAAGAAACATTAAGAGACCATGGGTTGATTTATTTGGGAAGGCCATGTTCTTCAACTGACTTTGCATCAGCCCCAAAGCGACTTGAAAAGCTAGGCGAAACTCGATATACCAAACCAAATTGGTCATAGACATTGCATGCTATGCATGCTGAACCCCAAGAGAAAAGTTGGAACTTAGTCCACGTCCTCAGACTTGGTCAAGCGTTTCAGAAGCTCAATGGCACTTGACTTGCACTCGCCCTTCTCCTTTTCAAACTCATCCCGATCATACTCACCCTGCCGGTTCTCGATATAGCGAGCCTCATGATTGAACATGGGAAAAACTAATGTGGAGATCTTTATGAACAAACAGTTCAAGCCATGGTGTTTGAATTCAGGCTTGTCTAGAGTCTAGAGGAAAGGCAAGAAACACAGCGAACAGCAGCAGCACATGCAATGACCAACATCATGTGGTGATTGCCTTTCGTATTGACATCCCAGCCGAAGTAAGCGAGTCGCTCCAATCATCACCAACCCATTGCCTCACTGTGCAAGAAGGCCTGGCCCAATACGTGGTGAAAGTGACATACTCAAACTCACAGCTGGCAATGCGATCCTTGATTTGCTGTTTCAACCCGTCCAACTCCAACCCTTTGTCAATACTGCTCACAAACTTTGACATGGTGTAGATCATGCGTTCACTGGGAGGGTAAACTGTTTCCCCACGGCGTCTGGAAGACCCTGAAGATCGAGACTTGCGCTTGGGCTGTGCTGTCGTTTCACCTGGGTTGGCATCTGGTGCTCTTGACCTCTTTCTGCCTGTCTCCTTTGTCTCCCTACGCTCATTGCATGCTTTGGTCCTCTTGTTGGCTTTGGTCTCCTTCTTCTTGATCTCAGTCTTGTCGGTGCCCTTCTTCGGCTTGCTCTTGGTGATGACTTTCGATGCCTGAGCAGCATCAAGGTTCAGCCGGCTCTTTCCCCTGAGTCTGCGGGTAGGTACCTCAATGGTTGGAATGGTGACATCCTCTGGGACATCCTCCTCAACATCAGCACCCTTTGAGTCTTTTGAATCATGATCTCCATGGTCAACCCCGGAAGCTTTGGAGGGACGACATCCCTTTCCACGACCACGGCCACGGCCTCGCCCCTTGCTTTCAGCAGGGGCCTTCAGTCGAAGTTGATCACGACGTGTGATCACCTGGAGCAAGTGGTGGCACAAACACTAGTTGTATAAAAGTAAAAAAACCTGATGTTCTATGGTTTATGTTTCAAATCATTTGATCCCATAAACTTGAACTCATCTTATGCAATGTTCCCCATAACATTTTTGTTGCACTTTTTTGGTGACCCTCTGACCTCCCTATCCTTTGTAGCCATTGGCTTCTCACTCTCGGTGGCTGGCTTGGGCTCTGGTGGGGTCGGTTCAACTGGAACATGACCCACAGGCGATGAAGTGGTGGCATCAGGAACACAAGTTGGTTTTTTCCGATGAATGTTGATCAGCGGAACATTCTGGTAATTGCTTCGGCGTTCATCTGCATCTTCAAAAGAATGAACCTTCTTAGTTGGGGCTGAAGGTGGCGTAGGCATCCCGGTAACCAACTCTGGCTGCGTTTCATCATTATCCCCACAAGCTTTGTCAGGAGTCTTCGTACCTAGAGGGCACAATTTAAATATATAAAACAATCCCCATATAAAACAATCCCCATATAAAACAATCCCAAGCAAAACCTTAGGTTGTTTTAGAACCATAGTATTCTTGAAAAATGACCATGACCCTTAAACAAATTTACAACAAACTCCTCCTGTCACCGTGGTAGCAGCTGTGAGCTCTGGTGTCAAGTTCCGCTGGACAGGATTGGAGATTGGAGCACGCTGCGGAGTCGCAGCACGTCGCATCGCCTGGATCCTTGGGGAACGGCGGCTGGAACTTATTGATAACTTGGGCTGGTGTTTTTTTTTTAAATTGGCTGAAACAATGGGGAAGTAATCAATACACCAAGTCTCTCCAACAGCCTTTGTTGCTTTTGCAAAAGACTCTCCAGGTACTTGATCCTGTCTTGAGCTTTTTCCAAGATACCTTAACCGCCATTCAATGCCATAGAGGTGGGAAGGATTGCAGATGGTTTCAAATGATTGTTGATTTCATATGTTAGTAAACTCTGCATATTATGATGTTAAGTTATATCAATGCCACACGGTTGCATGACATGATGGTGCATGTAAGCTACGCTTCTTCCCACTGTCAGTCTCATCTGGTTCTGAGGCTCCAGTCTCTGCGATGGCAGGGGCAGCCACCGTTTCAACTGGAGGAGCCGAAGGGGCCGGTGCAGCAATGGGTGGATTGCAGGGAGGTTCACCAGGCACAGTCTCTGTATCAGAACGTTCACCATCAGATTGCTCTTCATTCTCATCCTGGCGTTTGCAGGTTACTTGATGATGACTTATATCGATATATTGATAATGTTGGTCCATAACCCTTTTTGATGAGCAAAGTATATATTTCTCAAAAAACCAAAGCAATCTTTTCTGTTGGTGTTCAATTCATGCAGTCCTCTGAGATGAGTCCAGCCTTGTGCTTTCGATTCAACTCGTTTACCGTGTCCTGCCACAGCAGGTGCTATGGATAAGACATGATAAAGAATTTGGACTTTTTTGGTCAAAGCTGGTCCAACTTGGATTCATTACTTACCCCGCCTGTAAGTCTGGATTGGCAATCAAAACAAGATCCTGAAAGTCCCGGTCCTGGGGAGAGAGCTTGGCATATCAAGTATTGTTCATTTTACATAGGCTATTTTTTACATCCTACAACTGGGAAAAACACCATATGTAAACCAAACTAGTGGTTGCAAAACAAGTGGCCAAGGAGGGGTCTCCACGGTTCGCTTTGCGTTTAGTCAGTCTCAACATCTTTCTCAACTCCCACGAATCATCATCAACTATGTTGTCAGCCACCACCCTTTGATTGTTCAGGTAAAAGCTTTCCACTTGATCCCTCAAAGGGCCGATGTCTGGCAACTTTTGCTGGGCTGCAAACATTCTGTGGACACATGGGGTCAACACTTCGCTGTTGAGAACACACTGTGGTATGTTGGCATCTCTGGACTTTCCCTTTCCGGGGACCTCCTGCACCAAGTTCTCACCCGCCCTGATGCGTTGACGAGTTCCCGCTGAGTCATCCCATTCTTTGCTTAGTTCAGCACAGTCGAACATGGGGGCATCCATTGTAAGAAACTGGGAACCAAATTTAGCATGAGCCAAAAGTAGGACTGCAAACAAGCAGGTGATCAAATTCAAAGATTCCATCTTGATCATTTCAAAAAAAAACAGCTCGCCCTCACCGTGGCAGGAGTGATCTGAGTTCACGGCCATTGGAGCGGTATGGCATCCGCTTTTCTCTGAAAAAAGTCCAAAACGGCTGCCAAATGACCGGGATGGGTCAAAAGTCAGGTTTTCGTCACAAGATCACGGTTTTCGTCTGGGAACTTGTTATAACCATGATTTGGGACTTGATCCTGCTTTTTTTAAGGATTTGGTTGCTTAAGGTATATATATATATGTTGGACATGTTGTATTTCCCATTTTTGTTGGAACAAAAAATATGTCCCACGAAGGGAATATTTATTATGTGGGCTTCGCCGAATCCCCGAAAGTTATCCGTCTGGTACCCCGAAATTCGATGAGCTTCATCCGAAAATTTCCGTTGTATGAACTAGCCTCTGGTAATTTTAATGGTGATTTTAATGGTGATTTTAATGGGATTTAATGGGTTCTAATGGTGATTTTAATGGGATTTAATGGATTCTAATGGTGATTTAATGGATTTAATGGGTTCTAATGGTGATTAAATGGGATTTAATGGGATTTAATGGTGATTTCATGGGATTTAATGGAACTCTCTGGTGATTACCCTCTGGTAATGACTGTTACATAGCGACATAGAATAGAAGCCATGGCCCAGTCGATTTATAGTGGATAAAAACCCATTCAAAATAGTGGATCTTTCCATAGCTATGTGGCTCTTTACCAGAGGGTAGCATTCTTGGATACTCCTATTTTCAGGCCCATTGATGTTTGGTCAATTTTTTTCAGCAAAGGGAGTGATGGTTTCCGCATTCGAAGCAACTCCACAACATTTTCCGGGGACTTCAGTGGTTGGTGGGGCCTGCGGGACCACTGTTCATGTTGAGTGTTTTCATCCAGTTTTAGGGCTACCGACTTGACCCGTAGCCGTAGGGCATGTTTTTTGGGGGTATGGTCATACATCCCATGCCAATCCTTAATAGTATCCCCAATTGAGGACTTGATGACCAGCCCTCAAGAACTGGGGCAGTTTTCCGAAGTTTTGACCATGGCTCTTATGAAATTATCAGGGGTGCAGGGGATATGGTGGGGTTAGCCCTTTCTCATGAAGTATGTTGATGCCATAGGGTGAAATGGTGTAGTTAGATGATAACCCTGCAACCAGAAATGATCCAAACCATACGCGTGCAGCCTGTTGCAACCGCACGTCCACACCAGGCATGCTCCAGTCATTGAACAGCATGACAAACTGATGTAGCTCCACATCAATCTCACGGATCATATCCTGCAACACATGGGACTTGGTCTTGAACTTCAGGACGTTCTCTCTGAATGACAAAACCTCTGCACGAGACTGCAGAGACAGTTCCAAGTGAATCCTGCAAAAACCTTTATACCCATGCCTCTCACCTTCCGGCGTAGTGTTGATGTAGTGATTCAGAATGCCTTCGACCTTGGTGAGCCCAGTGAAGCATTGACGCAAAAAACTCAGCAAACGAAGTCCCCTGATCTGCATCGCGAGGACAAACATATCATGTTGGTTATCTTATCCCCATGGCATCCCATTAATAAAAACCATTCATATCAATCATAGTAATAACCTTCAACAAGGTGCAAAACAAGTTAGACTTACTTGTCTACCTCTTTATCGCTTCCGGGTAGCACATATGATACAAACAAATACTTTACGTCGTGTGATCCCCACCATGTCATTTATACATGTTGTTACTGGCAAATCTTCTGGCATTCTACCTGACATATCTTCTGGCGTTCTATTTGGCATTCTATCTGGCATTCTATCTGGCATATCTTCTGGCATTCTATCTGGCATATCTTCTGGCATATTATCTGCTCAAATCTTCTGGCATTCTATCTGGCAAACATTCTGGCACTTTATCTGGCATATCTTCTGGCATTCTATCTGACATTTTATCTGGCATTCTATCTGGCATACCTTCTGGCATTCTATCTGGCATATCTTCTAACATTCTATCTGGCATATCTCCCGGCACTCTATCTGGCATATCTTATGGCATTTTATCTGGCACATCTTCTCGCGTTCTATCTGACATTCTATCTGGCATATCTTCTGGCATTCTATCAGGCTTTTGAGGTCCAGCGGTGCGCACTGAGCTCGGAAGGCCCCAGGTTGAGGTCCAGCGGTGCGCACTGAGCTCGGAAGGCCCCAGGTTGAGGTTCAGCGGTGCGCACTGAGCTCGGCAGGTCCCAGGTTGAGGTCCACCGGTGCGCGCTGAGCTAGGAAGGTCCCAGGTTGAGGTCCAGCGGTGCGCACTGAGCTGGGAAGGTCCCAGGTTGAGGTCCAGCAGTGCGCACTGAGCTCCGAAGTTGGCGAAGAGCTTGGCCAAGAGTTGGCAAGGCAACAGTGGACGTGGAAGTGGAGGCAGAGGTGGTAGAAGAGGAGGAGGAGAAGGAGGAGGAAGGAGGAGGAAGGAGGAGAAGAACAACTCTGATAAAATCTAACAACCCTCACCTGGCAGGTGGGGAAAAATGTGGTAGACCAAATAAACCAAATCCAGTATCCAGCCATTGGATGTCCTTTTACATCATCAGGGTTTGGTAAATGTCCCATTTTGGGGATTTGTTTCACATCACTTGAAAACGTATCTGTTGGAGATTATATCATATATCCCCAATATTTGGATGATGTTCAATTAGGACATTTACATATCATCCAAATATCAACCAAAAAAATTAGGACATTTACCAACTATGTGGATGATATTTCCATTAAATTAGGACATTTACCAACCGATCATGGGGATTTATCAATTTATGATAGGGTTCACCACCAAAAAAAAAAACTCTATGGCCTTCATGGCGCCACGGAAAACAATATTCCCATAGTTTCCATGATCCTGCAGTTATGGCCCAAGTAACAGTTATAAATGGGATTTTAAATAACTCACTCCAACTAAGGTGAGATAATCATAATATCATAATCCCATTTATAACATTTTATAACTGTTAATTAAGGGCCATAAACTCTATGATTTTCCCATGGTTTTTACACTGGTGACACCAGAGACTACCGCCCCCAGCGCGGCTGCGCGGCGGTAAACGGCCTGGCGGGGCGCCTTTTTCGTCGCTTCCTTGGTGGCCTGAGTACAGCAGGTCAGTGCCAAGTACCTGTTATTGTTTCACAAAAGAAAAACAACTGGGATAAAAAAAGTTGGGATAGTCAGTACCTGTTAAAATCGAGTTATTGTTTTTTTTGTAAAAAAATGGTAATATTGACTGTTGGGATATGAATGATTGGTATAAAAAGAAACTATATTAGGATATATATATATATGTATACAATTACAACAACAACAACAACAACAACAACAACACTGTTAGGACAACAACAACAACAACAACAACAACACTGTTAGGAAATTGGATAGTGACATCGATTATAATCAACCACCAGGAAAATGCATGTGTATTACGTATACAGTGTGTTTCCAATTTAGGACACACATCTCTTGCGGAAATCTGCGCTTCATCGCTTCATCCGCACTGTGCATATCACCCCCAATCTTTGACCGTCTCTGGAAGGGGCTTCTCACGAGGGTCCCTGAGTTTTGACCCAGATCCATGATATACAAGGTGAGGCCCCAAAAACTTCGCACAGAGGCACATCATTTAAGGTTAACATGTAACGAGGCCCCAACATGTGATGGAAAATGGATGAAAATGGGTCGTTACATATCCCATAAAACAGTTCGTAACCCCATAAGCCCATGTTATCGCACAGTTTGGGTTAATGGGATATGTAACGAACTGTTTTATAGTTTCAACAAACCAACAAACATCACTGGGGGGCCTTGTTTCTCGTAGCCATATCTTTCATGAGCTTCAAAGTGTCATACAGTCACACACCCAAACCCTTCACACCGATCGGTTTCTAACTTGGGAACAGTACTGGGCTCTTCGCACCTTGTCCACCGCTTTCTCCTTCACTTCCGTCACTTCCTTTTCGATTCCGGGTTCCCAGGTTCCACGCATCCAACAAGCGCTCCACCGGAAGAAGACCGTGCCCCAAAATATGGGTGGAAACCCAGTGAGAATTGAACCCTGCTGTTGTTGGGGTCCCCAACTCTAAGAACCCCTCCATTTTTGAGCTGTTGTTGTCCTGTCAAAGTAAAATGCCAAACACAGAACCAATTCATCATGCATTTCCAATAGTAAAACATCGTCCGGTTCCCAGCTTGTCGTTTTCCGTTGAGGCACGGCAAAAATCAGCTTCCTATCCGTTAAGGAGAGTTATCGCACTCAACTTGGAAAGTGAACGTCCTGTTCCCTGCTGGGTTCCTTAGATATCCTTTTCTCTACAATTCACTATGGAACTGGGGTGAAGGATCAAAAAAAAATATTATTGGGATCAAAAAAATATTATTTAGGGATCAAAAAAAATTATTATAGGGATCAAAAAAATATTGTTAGGATTCATACTAATAGTAATAATAATGATAATAGTAATAGCAGTAGTAGTACTAATAATAATACTAATAATAATAATAACAATAATAGAAATAATAATAATAGTAGTAAAATAATACTAATAATAGAAATGATAGTAGTAGTAGTAGTAGTAGTAGTAGTAGTAGTAGTAGTAGTAGTACTAGTAGTACTAGTAGTAGTAGTACTAGTAGTACTAGTAGTACTAGTAGTAGTAGTACTAGTAGTACTAGTAGTAGTAGTAGTAGTAGTAGTAGCAGTAAAAATAATAGCAGTAGTAGTACTAATAGTAATAGTCACATGAGTGGTGTCCACAAGATTACTCGTATATAAATGTGCTCAATACTCATGCAGTACCCACGTAGGATGCAAGTTAAAGCAAAAACAAGGGCGCAGCGCCTCCCCCCGCAAAGCGTCACATGGTCATGATCGATTCATTCGCAATGTAGGTGGGCCTTATCATCCACCTTTGTGGCGTTGTCACAGCATACAGCGGTAGCAGTAGACGTAGCAGTTGGTGGGCCATACCATCCATCTTTTTGTAGCGACAAAGATGGTGGGCCATATCATCCACCTTTGTGGTTTTGTCACAGCATGGCACCAAAGCACGCATTTGAATTTGACGACAAGTTTGATCACATACGTTGAAACAAAAGGTGGGCCGTGTCATCCACCTTTGTGGCTCTGTCATAGCATTACAGCAAAGCACGCGCTTAGGCTAATTGATTTACTATGGGCGAGGTGGTGTGGCAGCAAAGCACGCACTTGAATTTTGACGACAAATTTGATCACACACGCTTGAAACAGAAGGTGGGCCGTATTATCCACCTTTGAAACAGAAGGTGGGCCGTATCATCCACCTTTCTGGCAATGTCACAAGCTGCGCGGGGGAGGCTTTAAAATAAAAAGGCGGGAGGGGGGCGCGGGGGGAGGGCCCAGCGCCTCCCCCCGCAAAGCGTCACATGGTCATGATACATTCAGTCGCAATGTAGGTGGGCCTTATCATCCACCTTTTGGGGCGGTGTCACAAGCCGCGGGGACGCTTGAAAATAAAAAGCCGGGAGGGGGGCGCGGGGGGAGGGCGCAGGATGCATGTATGTATGTCTGTAGGTCGATCGGCAAGCATGTATGTAGTTCAAATATACGCGTGCAATCTATATATATATATATACATATATTCCTTCCTTTCCTTCCCTGCCCTTCCCTTCCCTTCTCTTTCCTTTCCTTTCCTTCCCTTCCCTTCTCTTTCCTTTCCTTTCCTTTCCTTTTTCCTTTCCTTTCCTTTTTCCTTTCCTTTCCTTTCCTTTCCGTTCCTTTCCTTTCCTTTCCTTTCCTTCCTTCCCTTGTCCGAAAATATTCTTTTTGATCCTAATAATATTTTTTTTGATCTAGATGCCTCCTTCCTGCCTGCCTGCCTTCCTTCCTTCCTGAATATTTTTTCATTGCAATAATAGTTTTGTTTGCTTGCAATAATAACTATTTTTGACTGCATGTGCAAAGAGAAAGAGAATAGTACAAAAGAAGAAGAGCTGTAGGAGCCATAGAAGCCAAAAGCCACAGGAGCCGAAGGAGCCATAGGAGCCGAAGAAGCCAGAGGAGCCGGAGGAGCAAGACAAGAAGCCAGAAGCCAAAAAGCCACCAGGAGCCACCGGGGACACAGGAGCCGAAGGAGCCACAGAAGCCAGGAGCCGAAGGAGCCAGGAGCCGAAGGAGCCACAGAAAGCAAAAAGCCAGAAGCCAAAAAGCCAAGAAGCCACGAAGCCACCAGGAGCCACCAGGAGCCACCAGGAGCCACAGAAGCCAGGAGCCAAAGGAGCCAGGAGAAAAAAAACAAAATCAAAAAAAAAAAAAATCCCAAATTAAATTACCCTCCTTTCTTTACTTCAATCTTTCTTCCTTCCTTCCTTCCTTCCTTCCCCCCCTTCCTTCTTTCCTTTACTTACAAACAGTAATATTTTTTTTGATCCTAATAATAATTTTCTTTTGATCCTAATAATAATTTTTTTTGATCCTAATAATAATTTTTTTTTGATACCCATCCCCAAGCCGTTAAGGAGAGTTATCGCACTCAACTTGGAAAGTGAACGTCCTGTTCCCTGCTGGGTTCCTTAGATATCCTTTTCTCTACAATTCACTATGGAACTGCCAAGCAGTCGGTGAGGATTGTGAGCAAAAATCAGGCCAGTGGATATCTATTATGATCTATTTACTTTGCAAAAACGGGACGTGTAAAATGTCTGCCACTTTATGGAGCATAAACAGAACAGGATAAGGTGAACCGACCATCCATGGAATTACAATATTTGGTTATCCTTACAAGGTGGTGCCCCATAGTTATAAGTTGGTTTATAAACCCCATTAACTATACTGTAGTTATATCTACCATAAACCATAGTTATTGGAATTCTAAACCAACTTAGCTAACGAACTGGGGCACCACCTTGTAGGACTAACATGTAGCTGATCTAACCTTCCCGGGGATTCGACGCAACGAGCCCAACAACATCCAACAACTCCTTGGCGCAAAAACCATCGGGCGCCTCCTTGGGTTCCTCCGTGGTTTTCTCCTTCTCCTTCGAGGGGAACCAATGTTTCATTGGATTGGTTTAAGGGAAGATCTACAGGAAACCATGGTTTTTACCATCAAATATAGGGGTTTCCTGTAAATTTTCCCATCATCCAATTCTATGAATGTTTGGACCCCCCCAAGTTGTGAAAAATCCAAGGTGAAAACTGGCTGATGAACACATGGTCTAAGCAGTTAATCCACAGCCTGTGCTAGCCTTTGAGTTTGTGGGCAATGGAATTCGGAATACTGGCAGAAACTATTTCATATGGGTACCACATTATTCCACATTAGTTCAGCACAACAAATCTGGTAGATTGCTAGGAATTCCTTCGAGCTGCATGTCCTAAGATTACATTTTCTGGGGGTTGTGACATGTTGTGACCATACACTGATCTACTGTAGTAAAAATTGTGTAGATTCATTTCTTCATATTTCTTCCGCTTCTTTTAGTCAGATCAGTTGAAACCTCAATTCTTTTTGAAATCCGTAAACCTATTCTAATTGTTGGTGGACCTACCCCCCTGAAAAATATGAAAGTCAGACTGGATCATCATCCAAACTATTGGGGACAATAAAAAGCCATGTTCCAAACCACCAACCAATTAATTTATCATTAATCACCATGATTATTCACCATTAATCACCATTAAACCACCATTAAACCATATTAAACCATATTAAACCATATTAAACCATATTAAACCATATTAAACCATATTAAACCATATTAAACCATATTAAACGATATTAAACCAGCTATTTCTTGTCGGCTTCGAATTGATGTCCTCCTATTTTGATGGAGGTCGATTGGTGAAACTCACTCAACTCCTGGCGGATCAATCCCCATCATCAGAATGATGGTGGACATGTTCCACATCATAAATCATGAAACTAATTATAGTAATAAATCATTTAAGATCATGTTTTATAGATGTTTTCTTTAAAAAAAAACACATATATATATTGTTTCTTATCTACATAGTAATCATATAAATTCCCGTTTTTTGCTGGTTCAATCCCTCTCATTTCATGCGATTTTTGTCGTCCCCCCATCTTTTTTTTGGGCGCACGGCTCGTCCTCCGGAACCGCCTCGGACTTCTCGGGCGGTTCCGCCATGGCGACCTGTCGGAGCCATGGTATAGATGGCCCTAATCGAAATAGATGGTGAACAACCGGGTTTACCGAACTTCAACATGGTGATTTTCCATGGCGAACTGTTAGTCATAACCAGATGGTATATATTATATATATATTTATATATATATATTATGAGGGTTTATTGGATGATTTAATGGATGATTGATGGATGATTTAATTGGATATATCATGATATATCCCAAATGCTCCATGTATAGTATATTAACCTACAAAACTGGGTGATTTATGGGGTAAATGTTGGTAAGTATTCCATAGATTATTATGATGGTATATATTATGAGGGTTTATTGGATGATTTATATAATGGATGGTTCAATGGATGAACCATAGTTATATCAGATATAGATACTGAGTTAGAATTACGATGGATAAATGATGATAAATGGACATGTTGACCATAGCTTTTTGGTTTATTAAAGCTCATTCACTATAGATGATGGTCAGATCCCATTGAAATATGGAAATGGAAAAACCCCAAATCACTATGGTTTGTCCTAATACTAAGTTACTAAGTCATGGTCTTTTCTTGGATGATTTGGGGGTACCCCCATGACTTAGAGAAGCTCCATATCTACCAAAAACTTCAGTTCACCTATGTTAATTCACAGTTATTTCCATCCACCAAGATAAGGATAAAGGGCATCATCTTGTAACAACCATGGACATCCAGGTTATGGTAGTATGTCCCCCTGGAGCCTCCAATTCCGAAGTGGGGATATTTCATGTACGACATGTTTGATGCTATCACACATGTTTGATGCTATCACACATATTATTAGCATATATTACCATCAAAGATCCGGACTTGATCATGAAACAGCTCAGATCTTGCAACAATG